TTACAGGCCTCTCTCATCTTTTTAAGTGGGAGAACTTGCACAATTGGTGGCTGACTAAATACTTTTTTCCCCCACTGTATATATATACATATATATATATATAATATATATTTCTCCACAGGAAACTCTTTGCTGTTTGTGTTGACAGGGTTTTCCCTTCAGGGGATCCTGAGGGTACTCCAAGGGGAAAATAAATAAAACATAAAGAGCTGGAATTTTGATGGCATTTCTATTAACCAATTTCTAAGTAAAGATCTATTTGCATTTTATAATAAGTTTAATGTCCTTAATGAACGTTATTATAAAGTGTTACAGAGAAAATTAGCATTTTAATACTGGGAGTCCCTATTTTGGCTGAGAGTCTGGCTGGGGGGAGGCCTCTGGATCTGTAAAGATTGAAAAGCCCTGACGCAAACCACATGAAACATCTTCTGGGTAAATTATGATCAGGAAGGTGCCAATGGGCGTGTCCACATAATCAGCAGCACAAAGACGCCAATCAAACACAGCAGACAATTAACGCCGGAGGTCACAGGCATATTGGCAGTGTATGTGTGCATCACAGGGTGACCCTGAACTGAACAAAACCTTGTCACTCTCCAGTCCTGTACACAGCAGTCCCAAAGCATGCTGGATGGCCCATGCTGACATACAGGACAGCCTATCAGCCCTGCTTTAATTACAGCCAGTCAGGAATCTGCACTTCCAACAGGCCTGAGACCTGTCCTGGTGAATTAAGCATGCAGCCTGGCCTCATGAATAGTGCATGCAGGTGTGCTGCTTCTCTGATCTGGGAACAGAGGAGGTGACCCTCAGCCCAGCAGGAGAAACATACAGAGAAAGAAAGAGAGAGAGAGAGTGTGAATGAGAAAGCTGAGGCTCAGGGGTGAGTGAATGTGTACACATGAGAGACAGAGCATTTGAGGGAACTATGAATGCTAATACTCTAAAATCTGCACATACATAATACAGTGTGCATGTGTGATCTGTAAGCACACACTACTGTATGTTTGTTTCAAAATTTATTGAGCATGAAAGTCACATACCATAATACTACATATTTTGTAAGCACAGAAATAGAGAGACATAGGTCGAAATGATTACCCTTATATACACTACCATTCAAAAGTTCAAGAAAAGAAGGACACATTTATAAATACTAGGTACATCCATCCATCCATCTATCTATTTTTTTTTACTGCATTTTCAATCCAATAAAAGTGACATGTGGCCAAGTATGGTGACCCATACTTGGAATTTGTGCTCTGCTTTTAACCCATCCAAGTGCACACACACACAGTAGTGAGTAGTGAACACACACACACACACGGAGCAGTGGGCAGCCATATTGCTGCGGCGCCCAGGGAGCAGTTGGGGGTTCGGTGCCTTGCTCAAGGGTCTCACCTTAGTCGTTGTATTGAGGGTGGAAGAGAGTGCTGGTTATTCACTCCCCCCACCGACAATTCCTGCTGGACCTGAGACTCAAACCCACAACCTTCAGACACTCTAACCAATAGGCCACAACTGCTTTAATGGCCCTAATTAAATGCAGAAAAATAGGTAAAAAAAAAATTCAAATGACTAGACCTGTCAAAATACCTAAATTGCTTCCACCCAACTAATAACACTCCTAGAATTTTAATAAAAACAACTCTTTGGATTGAGACACAATTTCTGTCACATCGCACTCAATAATCTTGCTCCCTGGGGGGCACAAAGATATTTTGTCAGAATTAGGATATAACCTGCTATTTCAAAGCTCCTTTCTGCGAGAAAACTGCCATTTATTTCCATTTATACAACAGTTATATTCTGTTCTGGAATCTGACTGGAAACAGTGTTTCAAGAGTGCTGAGATAAAATAAATAAATAACAAAGTACTTATTGTGTCTATTATTACTCATGTTGTGTCTAAAATTTAAGTTTCTCATTGTTAATTCTTAATTATTAGTTATGCTTAATTACACAGGGGTGCGTTTCCCAAAAGCATTGTTAGCCAACTATGGTCACAATTTGCTTTTGGGAAACGCAACCCAGATGTGTTGTGTGCAAAAAGTGTCCACTGACCTGGTCTCCAACGGGACGTTGCTGTTGAGCACCCAGCTGTCCTGCAGCTGCACTGACTCGGGTGTGGTGGGCCCTTCGCCCGGGGCGGACGGAGGGGCGTGGATGGGGTTGCGTCGGCCGCTCAGTGTGTTGCGGTTGAGAGAGTTGGCAGAGGACTGGTGGTGCGACAGCATCTGGTGGTTGTGCGGTGGAGGGATGGGCGGCCGCAGGGTGGACTGGCTGTGATGGTTTGGAGCTCCTGGGGAAAAATGATTGAAAAACCCTTTTATCAGACTGTCAATCAATTATCAGTTGGCAATGTCAAAAAGTGTGTTAAGCGATGCAGGAAATGCAAATGGAATAACGGCACTGTGAGGGTGAAGTGTAATCAGAATAAACAGCAAATCAGGGACGAAAGGACGCTCTCAGTGATGACAGCCTGCCAAAGCTGTTTGTGTTGTTATTCTTTCTTTCCGAATTCACATGTAGATGTTCCGAGGCGGCAGGAAGCCCCTAAAACACTCAACCACCCAGCTTGTTAAGACGCTTGTCAGACAGGAAACTCCTGTCTTCTCTTTTTAAGCTGCGCTGGCGTTGTTGGATGCTGTGTTTTCGTACCTCATGATGACAGTTGCCTGAGAGCGAGCTCCACGGCCCGATACCCCGTCTATTGCTGTCAGGACTCTGATCAGTACGAGCAGATGGGCTAAAACAATACATGAACCAGGCCTACGAAGAGACTCACATGATTACTACACTGCAAAAAGTGATTTTCTTAATCTGTGTTTTTGTCTCATTGTCCAGTACATATATCTATATATTCTTACATAAATACTTAAAGGGTTAGTTCACTAAATGAAAATTCTGTCACCATTTACTCACTCTCAAGTTGTTCCAAACCTGTGAGTTTTTGCTTAAAACAAGAACAAATATATGTCGATGGGGTTAGAAACAAATTGTTTTCTTATTGTTGTTTTGTTTTCCTTTTGAATTAAGTTTATTTTTTGACCACGTTAGCAGCTACTTTTTCTTGTTTTAACCATACATTTGAGATTTTTTTCAACAAGATTTAATATCTAATGTCAAGGTTAATGTCAAAATATTGAGTGTTAATACCGTGGTATATTAATATGGCAATTAAAGTACCATGGTACTTTCCACCTTTCCATGTATACCACAGAACTCCAAATAAACTATCACAAAAAAGGGAGCACTATGGTAAACTTGTTTTAATAGTGTAATTTTGCAAATGGTTAACAGCTAGTTTTAAAATAAATAAATAAATACACATTAGAATAGTATTTCAGGCCTTGGGTTTAATTTCAAATAAAATAATTAATAAATATGACTGCTCACTCACAAACCTAAATAGACTGCCCTTTGGCTATGAAATTGGATTAATTTCTTTGTACAGAGAAAATAAAATTTATAGCAAGCTCTTATTCATCAACTATCTAACCAAAGACTTTTGTGTTTTCTGTCTGCTTGGCCCCTGTTTAGCAAGTGTTTGCTCTGCGAGACTCTAAATCTGCGACAGTAAAAAGCCTCTTGTGCGCTCTCTCCTCTTATCCTCTTCTTTTCTTTTTAAACACAAGAACGTGCATGTGCCAAGGATTACGAGAGAAGGTGCGGGGGATTAAATTCATGAACGAAGTGCACTGACAAACAGAACGTCAAGAATTTGTTCTTACAATCTAAATCCAACCAAAGGAGAACAGATCAAATGTATATGTAGACTCTGATCAGTACGAGCAGATGGGCTAAAACAATACATGAACCAGGCCTACGAAGAGACTCACATGATTACTACACTGCAAAAAGTGATTTTCTTAATCAGTGTTTTTGTCTCATTGTCCAGTACATATATCTATATATTCTTACATAAATACTTAAAGGGTTAGTTCACTAAATGAAAATTCTGTCACCATTTACTCACTCTCAAGTTGTTCCAAACCTGTGAGTTTTTGCTTAAAACAAGAACAAATATATGTCGATGGGGTTAGAAAAAAATTGTTTTCTTATTGTTGTTTTGTTTTCCTTTTGAATTAAGTTTATTTTTTGGCCACGTTAGCAGCTACTTTTTCTTGTTTTAACCATAAATTTGAGATTTTTTTCAACAAGATTTAATATCTAATGTCAAGGTTAATGTCAAAATATTGAGTGTTAATACCGTGGTATATTAATATGGCAATTAAAGTACCATGGTACTTTCCACCTTTCCATGTATACCACAGAACTCCAAATAAACTATCACAAAAAAAGGGAGCACTATGGTAAACTTGTTTTAATAGTGTAATTTTGCAAATGGTTAACAGCTAGTTTTAAAATAAATAAATAAATACACATTAGAATAGTATTTCAGGCCTTGGGTTTAATTTCAAATAAAATTATTAATAAATATGACTGCTCACTCACAAACCTAAATAGACTGCCCTTTGGCTATGAAATTGGATTAATTTCTTTGTACAGAGAAAATAAAATTTATAGCAAGCTCTTATTCATCAACTATCTAACCAAAGACTTTTGTGTTTTCTGTCTGCTTGGCCCCTGTTTAGCAAGTGTTTGCTCTGCGAGACTCTAAATCTGCAACAGTAAAAAGCCTCTTGTGCGCTCTCTCCTCTTATCCTCTTCTTTTCTTTTTAAACACAAGAACGTGCATGTGCCAAGGACTACGAGAGAAGGTGCGGGGGATTAAATTCATGAACGAAGTGCACTGACAAACAGAACGTCAAGAATTTGTTCTTACAATCTAAATCCAACCAAAGGAGAACAGATCAAATGTATATGTATGTGTGTGTGTGTGTGTGTGTAAATAGAGTGGATCAGTGCTAGCCTGGCCATGTAATCTGCTGTTCGTCATTGTATTACAATGGCAACAGTGCTGGATCAAACACGGAATAAGAGTAAAGCCGGTCCCTGAATGCTGGGAATTGGGAGAGATCCTGGCACTCAGACACAGCGGGGTGGGTGATGGGGTCTGATCCCCTCATTGAGGACTGATCTGAGCTCACTGGCCCCATGGCTTTATCTGGGGGTGACACGCTCTGATGACCCAGACTCTGATCTCTAATCAGTGAGAATTGAGTGATGAAATATATTGTGGCAAATATCTTGTAACAACACGAAGGCAAGTCAATTATGACAAATGTTATTTTTGTTTGAACTATCCCTTTAAATAAGTCAAGGATAAAATAGTAGGGAAGGGAAAATATTGAGACATGAGACACGAGTTAAATTAATTATTTAACAATAATAATACATCTTCAGATGAACTGAAATAATGAAGTATTTATCATCTACAGTTATAGAAATATATGGAAGCCCATTTCCACACACACACAATAAATGAATGAATGATCAATCATGCTTTGGTAGATAATCACATTTTTATCTTACAATTATGACTTAGTATATCATGATTTAGACTTTTTATCTGATAATTTACACGTCAATTTTGAATTTTTATATTGTATATATGACTTTTGACTTTTTGTCTAAGAATTATGCATTTTTATGTCTTAGATATAATTTACCAAAGCATTTTTCTTATGGGCTTTCATAGGGATGGATGGATGATTAAAATGTTCATAATATTTTAATGAAATGAACAGTATTTTGAATATGTTTTGTAAAATATTTCCTGCATTCCAGGTTATGATAGTTGGCACTTTATTTAATATTCAAGGTTGAATCATTTAATTGATTTTATGCACTGGCAGTTCAGCAACAAGTATCATGTATACTTTTAGAACTGAACCAATATACTTAATACTTAATCTAAAATTAACTTTACCTATCAGATAGAACACTTACTCAGACAAGTCCAAAATGGCACTTTCTAGATTAAGGGGGTGAGACAATTAACCCCCTGACACATCTTACCCCACTCTCTCCTACATTCTGTTTCTTCCAAGTTTGCAGAATATAACTATGAAAGTGATTCTGCAGTGCTAAGGTGAAGTAAAGTTTAGTTCCCCTCTCTCTCTCATTAACTCTATAGGTGTGCTGGAAATAGGTATGGACATTGTTAACTTCTGTTTAGGGGTACTTTTGTTTGTAACACTATGTATGGCTGTCTGGGGCCACAAGATGAATGCCTCTTCTTCTCTAGAGGCATGATCCCTGCGGCTGGAGTAAAAGTCCTCATCAGCATGCTGCTATAACAGTGAATCTGGGAGACGTGGCCTGATTTTGGGCCCAGGTGCAGTGTACAGATGTTCAATGTGGAGGGAAGGGGGTGACCTCTTAACCCCAGAGAGACATTTAGCATCTGCCAATACACACTCAAACACCCTCCTGAGGATGTGTACACAAACCAGTGGTCTCACACGCATAAATATACATGCACAGAAACATTTTAGGACAGCAAAATAAAACTCAAACTGCCTATTGGGAAGTTTAGGTAGCTCAGGTGCTTTTCATAACAGCATGCTACTTTTGCCAACTAGGAGCTTCTGTGTGAGCTCCCTTTCATATTATAAACCTACAAACACATACACTGCCGTTCAAACGTTTGGGGTCGGCAAAATTATAAAAAATTTTTTTAAAGAAATATCATATGCTAAGGCATGTATTTGATCAAAAATACAGTACAAACAGTATGCTAAATATTATTACAATTTAAAATGACTGTTTTCTATTTTAATCAAGAACAAATATATGTCGATGGGGTTAGAAAAAAATTGTTTTCTTATTGTTGTTTTGTTTTCCTTTTGAATTAAGTTTATTTTTTGGCCACGTTAGCAGCTACTTTTTCTTGTTTTAACCATACATTTGAGATTTTTTTCAACAAGATTTAATATCTAATGTCAAGGTTAATGTCAAAATATTGAGTGTTAATACCGTGGTATATTAATATGGCAATTAAAGTACCATGGTACTTTCCACCTTTCCATGTATACCACAGAACTCCAAATAAACTATCACAAAAAAAGGGAGCACTATGGTAAACTTGTTTTAATAGTGTAATTTTGCAAATGGTTAACAGCTAGTTTTAAAATAAATAAATAAATACACATTAGAATAGTATTTCAGGCCTTGGGTTTAATTTCAAATAAAATTATTAATAAATATGACTGCTCACTCACAAACCTAAATAGACTGCCCTTTGGCTATGAAATGGGATTAATTTCTTTGTACAGAGAAAATAAAATTTATAGCAAGCTCTTATTCATCAACTATCTAACCAAAGACTTTTGTGTTTTCTGTCTGCTTGGCCCCTGTTTAGCAAGTGTTTGCTCTGCGAGACTCTAAATCTGC